GAGTAAGATGCCTTCGGCCATAGAGCAGTAGCCGAGGGCTCTTCCACCCGATGGCACCCTGGTGCCGAGGGCTCATAGTGCCGAGGGCTACTGTTTTCGCCGTTTTCTCCCAGTTTCTTAATTTGCTTGAGAAACCCGTTCTGTGAGAATTTAGAGCCTTCGGCCGGGGGGCCGAAGGCACCCCTGGCGCGTAGTGCGGGCTGCTTGGTACTCTGGGCACTGTGATTTGGGCCTTCTGGGCCTGTTGGGCCTTCACTGGAGTAGTAGGAGTCTGTGGGCCGGGGGTTCCCGGGCCATATACTCCATCACACTCTCTCTCTCTACATTTACTTGCTCTGACTTCTCTCTAAGTTATTCTCAGCAATACCCCTCCGGATATATACCCCGGGTAGACTATCCATCATAAAGTTATGTTTATTACTTTATATTTTAATTATTAATGAAATATGAATTATAATAAAACAAAGAAAGGGTAGAATTGAAGGCAAATTAAATGAAATATTAATTATAAAGTTATGTCTAGGTCCAGTTTCTTGAGTTTAAGGCAAATTAAATGAATCTGTCTGATTAATAATACATGAATTACCTGATGATCGGATATTTGAACTTGTTCTATTCTGTATATGAATATTCTGAAATACATGAAAGTTATCCAGTTCATTCAGGTATGGTTATTTGTTCTAATAATCACGTGTTAATTATGATATGTCATTATATGCTTCAATTTGTTATATGTGTTATTACCGTACCGCTCAGCACATTGCTGAGCGGGTAGTTGTTTGTTTTCCTACCCGTAGGTCAAGAGCAGAATCAACTTGAAGCATCGGGAAGGAAGGAGGCATAAGGCTCATATGCATATGGTGTGTTTTGTGGGATTCTGTTATGAAGTATGGAACGTATTTTGAAATAAACTTAAAATTTCCATTTTGATATTTTGTAAAAACCTTACGCTACAGTTATATGAATTTTGTGATATTGACATTATGCCCGTTTAATAAAATTTCTGTTCATTTTGGATTAGTAATGACATTTATTTAATAATAAAATTATGCTTGTAAAAAAATGTTTAAATACAATCTAATTTAATAAGTCTTTTAATAAACCTGTTTCGGTTTTCTGCTACGTGACAAACCACTCGGGTCGGCTGGGTTGATCCGGGTGGGGTGCTACACCATCACAATTTAACTTGAAAGATTCGGAGTTGGGTGGAATCTACTTAATATTGTTAGCCACCTTTAATTGTTTGATCCATCCATAACACTTACTTTGTTATACTCCTGTGCATGTGCCTGTGCATTCCTCACAACTCGATCTGCATCTGGATGAACGCCTTCAAAAATCCAAGCGTTATGAGCTTTCCATAAACACCAAATAACATAAGCAAACCTGGAAGCGTGGGGAATCCTGTCCGAATTTCTTCCCTTCCCTTGACAGTGTCTCTGTATCCATTTCAAACTATTGAGAAAACTATCTGCCATCCTAGACACAACAAATGCAGCTTTGGTCCAACATGTTGCAGCAAATTCACAGTCACACAGCATATGGAGGACGGTTTCCTCCTCAGTATTGCAAATAGGATATGTGGAATCATTTGAGAGATGTCGCATTTGTCAGAACTTTGTTCTTCCCAGCCTGCCTGAGGAAGCAACGCACCTTCTCTGCTGCATCTATTCTCCATGGCCAGCTCATGTCTTCTTCAGCCTGAACCGAAAAATAAGCCTCGTAAGCAGATTTGATAGTGAACTCACCAGTGGCTGAAAACCTCCAGTAAATGCTATCACAGTTCTCCTTCTCGTTTGGTATGGGGATAGTTCTAACATCACTCACTACATCTTCTTCCAATTTAGTAACATTCCACTGCTTGGAAGGAGTGATAAAATATGTTACTTGACTAAGCTCGTTGAAGCTGGAAGAGGAGAGCCCAAGTCTTCATATAGCGGTCTGTCTCGCACCCAATGGTCAAACCAAAAGGAAATATCTTTCCCAGACATGAGAAGAACCGACCTTCCTCTCAGCCTCCCAGAATGAAGTGTTTTTAGGTATTTGGTCTTCATTAGTTTGACCCATAAATTTGGTGTATCCATGACGAACTCCCATCTAATCTTGGCTACAAAAGAACTATTAATATCATGAGCCTTTCGAATGCCTAAGCCGCCTACGTTCTTAGGCTGGCAGATCTCCTCCCAATTAACTAGGTGAACTCTCTGAGATCCCCCGGTGCTTCCCCGGAGAAAATCTCTATTAAGTTTGTCAATCCTCTTACAAACACTAGTTGGAAGTAAAACACATTGCATAACATATTGAGGAATAGTACTAGTCACTGACTGGAGTATTGTCTTCCGGCCTGCAAAGCTCAAAGTCTTTTTTCCATGAGGACAGCTTCTTACTGATCCGATCAAGGATAAAAGAGAACTTATGCTTAGATTTTCGTCCATGTAGAATGGGGACTCCCAGGTACTTACCCAGATCAGTAGTAGCCCTTATCCCAGTCATCTCTTGCAGGCTACAACGCATACTAACATTGATATTTGGAGAGAAGTATACACGTGATTTTTCTTTGTTAATAATCTGACTTGTGCTCGAGGAGAATTCTTGAACCGTGTGTAACAAAGCACTTAAATGCTTGCACGATGCCTTGCAGCCCTTGCTAAAGAGCATAAGATCATCCGCAAAAAATAGATGTGAAAGCACTAGTATATTCATACTCAGTTGCATGCAAATATATATTTATACACGCACTTAATTAGTATATTGATGCATATAGGTATATATACAATTCATATACATTCCAATAGTTAACACTTATACGTTACTCTTATTTAAAGTTAATGCACATTAAGTTCTAAAGATGTTAGTGACGTTGGGATAAAAACCTTTACATTGTCATATATTAATAACACTTAAAATTATGATGATTATCCGTTGGAATCATTAAAATTTGGTTGATCGTTGGAATTCATTGTTTTAATATGGAGGAGCAACGATCTTTTAAGCCATGATAAGTTTTCTCACAAAAAGAAATAATATTATATTCATTTATTTGAAATACCCAAAATTTCCAACATATAATAAGGTCTCTTAAAAACAAGATGAATTTGTAGCCTTAAAGCTAACAACTATTATTTAAAAGATCGAGCATGTGCAGAGTTATCGCACAAACATGACAATTAAAGAACAAATATGAAGTAGAAAAAACAGAAACATGTGTTGGAAAGTAAAAACAGATAAGAAACACTGAATTGCAATTTGGAGGTTAAAATGTGAATTAAAACTTGAATATGACAAAATTGATACGAAGTATAGTATAAACGAATTTCGTTTATACATCAAACTATAACACTTTCTAAAAAAATTAGAAATAAACTTACCAAAAATTGCAAAAATTTTGTGCAGCGCATGAAGATCGATGAACAACTAAATAATGCTCTGGAACAGTTAATGGAGCATACGAGAACAATTGAAACTGGAGAAGTGAGATTGGATGATTACAAAGATGAAGAGCAAGAGCTTGGATGATTACAAAGACGAAGAACGGGGGAAGAAAAAACGATCGTTGCAGGAAAGATGTCGTTGCGGAAACGGAAATTAAAAATAAAGTTTCCTGAAATAGAAGTAAATAAATCTCACGGAAGGAAAAAACTTAAGGAAGTCTCTCTTTTGTAAACTTTGTATGATTTGGTCTCACCGGCATCAATTTTCTCAATTAGATAAGGGAAACAAGGGATGAAGAAAAAAAGAATGAAATATATGGAAAAAAGTAATTAGATAAGGGAAAGAGGGGATGAAGAAAGAGAACATATTACCCCGTCTTTGAATTATCTTTCAAATTTATTTTGGGAAATTGCCCAAAATAAGAACAAATGAGATTTGAAATTTCAAAATAGGACTAATATGTTTTTCTTCTCGAAATAAGAGTTGTTACTGTCATAATTGAAAAATATTGTCATTCATTATAATAAATATTGTCATGTTAAATGCACTGTACTGCAACTATTTGGCAGTCACGCCAACAAGATGACAGTAAATACTGTCATGTTAGTCCCATTTCGGGAATAAAAACATAATGGTCGTATTTTGGAGTTTCAAACTCCATTTACTCATATTATGGGAAATCTCCCATTTATTTTTTCGTCCGTCCCAAAATCATCTTCTCTTTCTCTTTTTAGCAAAAAATTTGCGGTTCACAATATTTTTCTTATTCTACTACATACTCCCTCCGTCCCGAAATCAACTTCCCATTTTCCTTTTCGGGCAGTCCCGAAATTAACTTCTCACTTCTTCCCACTTCCTTATTTCACAAATTATCTACATCAAAACAGTGTCAAATAGTGTCAACAGTGTCAAAACAGTGTTGAAACAGCGTCAAAAGGGGAAAATTTATCTACAAATAAATTTATTTCCTTAATATGTGTGAAATCGAAGTGAAAAGTTAATTACGAAACGGAGAGAGTACATTTTACATATTTTTCTCTTTCTGCGCAACTATTCCCAACACAATTCTCAAGGATGACACCCCATCTCTGAGGACCCCCAACCCCGACCGGACGATACGTTGGAAGGATGCAAATTGGACTATAATCTCAATCTGACAGATAGAGAGTGGGGATCTGTCTCCGGTACTTGCAGGGGCTCTATGCATTTTTAGCATAGTAACTCTTCATCACAGTTGCCGGGATTCGAACTCGTCACCTAACCCTTGTGACACTCCCTTACTACCGGTTGAGCTACGTCCACCGGTTCCCAACACAATTCTCAATTTTTTATTCCCTTATCAAACTCATTTTGAAACATACGGAGTAATTCAGGAATAGTAGTACTTTTTACAGAGAAAATTGAAATCCGGCTGCAAACCTGATATCAAATCACAAAGACTTACTCCCGTACTAGAGAAGCAACCGGCTCTGGAATAATCTCACAGCAAGCGTGCCATGCTGCCACCTCTCCCATCCGTTAACTACGTGTCCGCACTCTCCTTCTTCGTCCTACACGTGGCACTAAATCTTGCAATCACCTCTCCATCGTCATCCCTCTCTTCCTACACTATTTAACTCCGCCCTCCATCCACCCTACCGTACGTCCAATTAATATTGTCCAAATAAATTTCTCACTGACATAGATCGATCGAGAACATCATGGCATCAAGACAATCGGCGAAGACGGAGAGGGCTGAAGCCGAAGCCCGGAGGGCTGCGGACGAGCTCAGTGAAGTCAATAAAGAAAAAAGAGAGAGCCGAGCAATAAAGCTGGAAACTGGTCATCCCGCCGCAGGATACACCACCACCCACCGAGAAGAGGAGGAGAGGAAGCCCGGCGTCATCGGCAGCTTGATCAAGTCAGTCCAAGGTACTCTGGGTCATGCAAAGGACGCCGTCACGGGAAAAGCCAGCGACACTGCGGAGGCTACCAAGGAAACGGCGGAGCAAGCGGCTCAGAAGGCCAAGGAGACGAAAGATTCCGCCGTTGGGAAGACCCAGAGTGCCGCTGAGCAGGCTAAGCAGAAAGCCGCGGAGGCAAAGGATGCCACCACGGAAAAGGTCGCGGAGTACCGGGATTACACCGCTGAAAAAGCGAAGGAAATGAAGGACGGTACGGTCCAGAAGGCGGGAGAATATAAAGAATATGCGGCAGATAAGGCGAAACAAACAACCGATGCGACGGCTGAGAAATTAAGAGAAGCTAAAGACAGGACAGTGGAGAAAGCGGGGGAGTACAAAGATTACACAGCTGAGAAAGCAAAGGAAATGAAGGACGGCACCGTCCAGAAGGCGGGAGAATACAAAGATTACGCAGCCGATAAGGCGAAACAAACAACCGATGCCACGGCTGACAAAGCAAAAGAAGCTAAAGACATGACAATGGGGAAAGCAGGGGAGTACAAAGATTACACGGCCCAGAAAGCAGGAGCAGCTAAAGACCAGACGGCGGAGAAGGCGGGGGAGTATAAGGATTACACAGCCGAGAAAGCCAGAGAAGGAAAGGACACGACGGTTGGCAAGCTGGGTGAGCTGAAGGACTCGGCCGCTGACGCTGCTAAGCGGGCTATGGGTTTCTTAACGGGAAAGAAAGATGAAGCTGTGCAGAAGGCGGAGGAGACTGGTCACGCGGTCCGGGAGAAGACGGAAGAGACCGGGCATGCCGCCAGGCAGACAGCAGAGGAGACCGGGCAAGCCGCCAAGGTTAGCCGTTTATAGCCCTCCAATTCCCTTATACTCTCATGTGATCTATGCGTATGGTAGCGCTTAATTATAACATACTTCGTACTTTGTATTTTTGTCAATAAACATATATGCCATATTATTTAAATGTATGTTTTATAATTACAAGTACTAATTAATAAATACTCCATCCGTAATTAAATATGATGTGAAAAACTTGTGCTTTCGGCTGTGCTTCCATTTGTAGTTACAATATTGAAATAATCTCATTAGTCGATGTTTAGTCAGTCTAATGTGTCACCTTGTTTAACAAGTAAATTAATTCTCATATATGGGGACGAGATGTAAAGCCCTTGATCCGGGGGGTCATTTGAAATATGAGAATCAGTGTCATATTTTTTCAGGAAAAGATGTATGACAGCAAGGAAGATGTAAGGAGGAGAATGGAAGACACTCATCTCAAAGACGAGTATAACCTTCAGGATGAAGGTCGTTGGAGGGATGACATTGGGAGGTTAGTTTTCACCTATCTACAATATAATATTACTCCGTAATTAGCTCCATCACTTTCTTGTCAAAATTGTTTTCTTTGATTCTCAAAATAATTCATATTTTGAGAAGAAAATATACTAGTACTGTAACATTTATGATCGGGATTCAAATTGATTTGGTCAGGGAAAGTGTGGGAAAGAGTGGGGAAGGAGGAGGGTTGTTTGCCGGAATGAAGGACAAGCTTCTGGGTACGACCGGGCCGAAGCACGGCGACGAGAAACCAGCAGCAGGGGAACCGAGAATCACTCGGGTGGTGGTGGACGTGGATGAGACGCCGGCGGGAAAAACAGCAGCGACTTTGAAGGCGAGTGATCAGATGACGGGGCAGACATTTAACGACGTTGGCCGTCTCGATGAAGAAGGGATCGCACAATGGAGTCCTTAATTAAGCTACGTAGCTAATACTATACGTTCGGTTGGTTCTTATGATTTCCTATCGGTTAGCTGCTCTGCTTCTGTTCAAATTAAACTTGTTGTGATCTTTTTTCTTTCTTTATAATTCAATAATAATGTGATGTATGTACCTCGGCTTATGTTTACTCCGTATATGTATATGGATCCGTAATGTAATCGTTAATTAGTTGAGCGATATATTTTGATGGTTCAATTTCACTTTCAACCCAAAGCATAAATGGTGTAATGTGTTCGGAAAAATGTGTTAAAAATTGCATTAAATGGTCATTTTGGGGCAATTATTTGAGTGGAATTCACTTCCGATTTGGGTCGGGTCAAAGTGGTTTCGGATTGTCCTTGTTAAGGGCTACAATTCGATATGTGGTACACTCAAAACGGATAACGGGTGAATGAGAAATTAATTCTAGAAGTTCACTCGTTGAAATGGAAAAATTGGGAAAATGATGAGTTTCTAGTGTGTTTTATGCCACACCGAAAAATTCAAGGGACTCCTCTTTTAAGGAGTTAAGATTCCTAAAGGGAAAGGTTCTCTCTTACGCGTAGGGGTGCCGACCAGAACCCCTCGAAGGGGTGTTCTGTTGGTTACGGACAGAACCCCTCGAAGGGGTGTTCTGTTGGCTTCGGACAGAACCCCTCGAAGGGGTGTTCTGTTGGCTTCGGACAGAACCCCTCGAAGGGGTGTTCTGTTGGCTTCGGACAGAACCCCTCGAAGGGGTGTTCTGTTGGCTTCGGACAGAACCCCTCGAAGGGGTGTTCTGTTGGCTTCGGACAGAACCCCTCGAAGGGGTGTTCTGTTGGCTTCGGACAGAACCCCTCGAAGGGGTGTTCTGTTGGCTTCGGGCAGAACCCCTCGAAGGGGTGTTCTGTTGACTTCGGGCAGAACCCCTCGAAGGGGTGTTCTGTTGGTTACGGACAGAACCCCTCGAAGGGGTGTTCTGTTGGTTACGGACAGAACCCCTCGAAGGGGTGTTCTGTTGGCTTCGGACAGAACCCCTCGAAGGGGTGTTCTGTTGGCTTCGGACAGAACCCCTCGAAGGGGTGTTCTGTTGGCTTCGGGCAGAACCCCTCGAAGGGGTGTTCTGTTGACTTCGGACAGAACCCCTCAAAGGGGGTGTCATGTTGGGGTCTTCTGTCGCGCAATTCTTCCGTTACAACAATTAATGCTCAACGTTCTTCTCTTTTAATGCTGCGTTAAATGGACAGTTTATGAACGATTCAATGCCCAACGGACTGGTCATTGATGTTCAACGTTCATGTCCATTAATACCCCTTTTAACACACAACAAATCCTCCTATAAATAGCTGACAGGTGCTTTGCAACAAACACACGGTTTGACAACGCACAATACTTTCCTCACGTTTTCTTGAGCTAAAAAAACTTCCAGCTACTCCCAAATTTCCTAAATGTTCTTACTGTGTTCCAGTTCGCCGGAACTTTCGTTTGTGTGCTCAAACGATCGTTCGTTAGCCACCGTATCCTGGGAAACGGTCGTTGCAACGCTCCTAGCACCGTGGGAGGCGACGAATACGTTTTAAGGACATCGTGCGTAGCACGAGCTTTGGCTAAAATCTGTTCCATCTTATTTTCTGTTTTCTTTTAGCTATTTTGTTTATTAATTAATTTTATTTAATTAATATTTCTTTGTTTATTCCGAAACACACCCAACAATCTTAAAACGTATTCGGTGATTGTTCTACTCCGGTAAACAATCCTAAAACGTATTTTCCTTGGTTGTTGTACTGCGGTAAACAATCTAAAAACGTAGTTTGTCACTTCGGTGAACGAACTTAATTTTTTTGTTTTCGGAAAACGTTGAAAACGTCAAAATGGTTTCGCAAGAAATTGGAAATGTTGGTGGGCAGAACGTGCCAAACGATAATCAATCTGAAAGTGGAGCACCGATGAACAATGGTTCACAACGCGGTGCATCTACTTTGGGCAACCAAGGGGCAACCCCTATGGTTACCGTGCCGAGCAACTCTGTGGAGAAACCCGAAAAATTTAACGGGTTAAACTTCAAGAGGTGGCAGTAAAAGATGCTATTCTATCTCACTACTCTCGGTCTTGCAAGGTTCTTGATCGAAGATGCGCCGGTAGCAACCGGGGGTGAGGTGGATGCGCAATCTTTCAACGCGGTTGAAGCTTGGAAGCATTCTGACTTCCTTTGCCGAAACTACGTGTTGAACGGGCTGCATGATGCTTTGTACGACGTTTATAGCAAATTAGCTACGGCTAAGGAGCTATAGAATGCTTTGGACCACAAATATAAAAGCGAGGATGCCGGCGCAAAGAAATTTGTTGTTGGTCGATTCCTTGATTTTAAAATGGTGGATTCGAAGACGGTCTTGAGTCAAGTTGAGGAAATGCAAATGATCTTCAACGAAATTCGAGATGAAGGAATGACAGTTAGTGAGTCTTTCCAAGTGGCGTCAATTATCCATTTATTGCCGCCGGCTTGGAAGGATTTCAAGAACTACCTTAAGCACAAGCGAAAGGAAATGAACTTGGTGCAATTGATCCTCCGTCTGTGGATTGAAGAGGATAACCGGAAGAACGATGGGAAACTCCTTATCATTACCAGCGCCAAGGCCAACGTGGTGGAGCATGCTAAAGGCTACAAAAATAAAAATAATGGGAAGAGCAAGCTCGGTCCCAAGGGAGGCATTTCCAAAACAAAGTTTAATGGAAAATGCTTCAATTGCAATAAAAACGGACACAAGTCCGCGGATTGCAAGGCACCCAAGAAGGGATGACGCCGTGGTCGTTTCTGTGTGGGGAGTTTCCCCTATAAAATTGGATCCTCCTTCTTCCTCGTTTGCCATGTGTTGCATGACCTGGGCCATATCTCGCATGGCCTGAGGATTCCTCCTTAGAGCTTCAGGAATTACAAAGTCCCCATCAAAATGAGGATATGATCCTCGGATGGATTGTCCCTGAGGGGTTTGATTTCTCGTGGTGTGACTCCTTCCGTGACGGCGCGAACCATCATTCGTGTGATAAGAACTGATTCTGACCATTTTCAAAAATAGTTGTTTTGGATAATTGAATGTGAAACTTTTTGAACAGATTCCCACAGACGGCGCCAATGTTGAGGTTAAGTCCCGTAGATCCGAAAGCCCAACACGAACTTTGGATATATCAGGAATGGATCAGAATCAAAGTGTATAACAAAATATAAAAGATGAATCAACTAATACCCAAAAGCTCACTTGTATTAATTAACCTGTCAGATTACAAGGAAACTTCCCGATCGGTAGGTCGGAACAATGCTTTTAATACAAGAAACAAGAGTAATAATGTTATTCTAGAGCTTGAGTATCAAAATGCTAACCCTTACAATGATATTAAACCTTCTATTTATACTAATGGAGAGCATGGGCTGCTCTATGCTGATTGGCTGTTGTTTCACCGACTTGATCACCCATGTTTCCACTTGCTGATGTCACCATCTGGCATTAATTGCACCTGGCCACTTGCTGGTTGTCCGTTGCTCGAACGGGATGCTGGACCATGCAGAAGACGCTGCCGAATTGACCCAAGTATGATATATGACCCGAACTCCGTTCGGTATTTCTGCTTTCTGGGGCGGCCTCTACTTGGACCGAACCCCGTTCGGTATGGATTCTTCACTAGGCCTACTCATCATAGGGTAATAGACTCGTTGTTTGGGCCGGGTATCCTGAGCCTTTCTAATCCGGGTATTGAGCCTCCGGGTCAATATCCCAACACTTAGTATTTATAATTGTAATTATAATTATAATTATAATTAAAATTACAATTATAACTATAATTATAGAAATACGTATTATTTATATAAGTACAATTATAATTATAGAAATAATTATAATTAAAAATATAATTACAATTATAATTACAATTTTAAATACTAAGTATAATAATAATAAAATTAAGAGAACAGCTTCTTAGAAGAAAGAATGGCATGGAAATTACTATTTGACTTTGCATTTCCAAAAATATGGCCCATTTTATCTTTTCCAAAAATATGACTCCTATATAAACTAAAAACCCTAGGCAATCTGTCGGCACTCTTCATTTGAGACTCAACTTCTTCATTTCTTATCTTTTTCATTTGAGACTCAAGCTAAGCTTCGTCTCTCTCATCCAAGACCAACCACCGGCGCTCCAGTGCACTCCACCCGGCGATGCTCCACTGCACTCAGCCGCTGACGCCCTGCAACTCCACCGCACTCCAGCCGCTGACGCCTCGCCGCTCCATCGCACTCTAGCCGCCGCCCTGCCGATCCACAACAACTCTTCTTCTTCTCATTCTTTTTCGTCGCTGCTTCTCGAAGATCAGACACTGTCATCAATGGCTGCGCTCCCTGTTCCGTGAGCGACGGTTAGGTTACGACGGCCAAATGAGTGTCGGCTAGGAGACAATGGCCAGGCGAGAGACGGCGTTGAACAGATCTGTGGTTTTGGTGGTCAATAAAACTTGGGTGAGGGGGGCAGCGACGAGCTGGCGGCTGCGCTTATAGGAGGTAGCGCGGTTGGGGGCTTGGGTCGGAAGTTGGGGCTTAGGTGTGAGGGTGGGGTTTGGATCTGGATAGACTGGCGGGGCAGAGTTGAGGTGCTTGGTGACAGAAGTCACCGGCGGTGTGTCCGTCACTGGTGTTCAGATTTGGGTGGAAGTCACTGAGTCAGTGACCGGAGTTGGGTGGAAGTCACTGGATTAGTGACCGGAGTTGGGCGGCAGTCACTAGTTAGTGACCGGAAGTCATTGAGTCAGTTCCGACGGCGCCGGCGGCAACGACGACTATATCGGCAGCGGGGACGACGACGACGGTACCGGTGGTGGCGGCGACGGTGCCAGTGATGGCCTGATGGTGCTGGGGTCAGCGGCTGTGCTGGTGGCTACTCAAATCATATAAAAGAAATATTTAGTACTAGTATATTAAATTCTACATATAAGGATAAATGAATGAGTGTTAGTTATACATTTGGAAATTTTTAAAAGATGTCATATTTTTTGTCTTTTCTGTTCATTTTAGTAATATTAATAAAAAAAGGTCTTCTTAGAACTCTTGTAACTAAATTAAATCTGACAAAAATCAGATGTCACGAACTATTTAGCATGTCTATATTATTACGGAGTAATATTTTGATTTGTGTGAACCTCAGATTAATCGCGCAAATACATTGTTGTAATGTTCACAAAGATTAGATGGCAAAAACATTGTTGGGGTATTAGTAGGCCGAGTAGGAAGCTTGTTCAAATACCTTCGCGGACCCAATCGGGACAAGAATACAGATACCTATGCTCGGTGCGCAGGCCGGACTGGCTGAACTATATGTCTCGATCGTGTTGTTGCCTCACCTGAGATGACTCAAGAACAGGGTTGACACTTGCATCATTCTCGCTATGGAATTTGCTCAATCAAGAGATCAATGTGAAATCAAGAATTGACAACTAAGAGATCAACGAGAAATCAAGAATTGAAGGAAAGATCATTTAATACATCATGAAGAATTTTATGGTTTGGGTCGACACTTACATCCTTCTCGCTATGGAATTTGCTCAACTAAGAGATCAACGAGAAATCAAGAATTGACAACTAAGAGATCAACAAGAAATCAAAAATTGGTGGAAAGAACATTTAATGCATCACAAGGAATTTTATGGTTTGGGTCTCCTGAATCAACAGTTGTTGTCACTACCCTATCAAGATACCTAATGTCAACCATTGGAGACCATTGTCCTGTCTAGGTGACATAATCCACAACTTGCCAGTCACCACCATATCCCTTGAAAATTGCTCGGAGTACCCACCATCTGCTCTAGACCTGCTCTAGACCTGCACAAAAATGGATCGGCCCGCTCGGCATGCCTAGTCTGCCCATACAAATTGGCGGACTTGAGCATATATATTTACTCACCAGGCATATGAGCGGGGGTGTAGGTTTGTTCGGGCCGATAAGTTCGGCCTGCCACATTGAGTATATATAAACAATGATATTTTTGGTCAAATTGACTTTTCTTAGTCAATGACAATCAAATTGGATCACTGATATTTTATAATAAGAAAGTAATTCGAATATGAAAATTATATCCAAATATTACTTATTCAAAATATGTTCATAAAAGTATAAAACTTATACGTTATATACAAATATAATAATTGAAACATACCATAGTTATTGCCCTAACTGGGACTAAAACTAGGCTAAAAATCACAAATAGGATTACATCCTTAAATCATTCACAAATAGGACTAAATAGGACTAAACATTAATGTTGTACCCAAAATACCCCTAAGTGAATTAATTCATTAAGAAATGTTTTAATTCATAATAAAATCGTAAAAAAAATTAGTAGAAAAAAAATAAACAAATAATTAAATATTTATAAAATCAAAATGTTACAAAAATTTAAAAAATAAAATAAAAAATAATACTCCCTCCGTCCCATTTTACTTAGTCAAACTTGACTTTTCAAGTCAATGACGTCTAACTTTGACCGATTATATATTTACAGAGAAATTATTAATAACATGAAAATGATATGAAAATATTATTTGTTAAAAATACTATCATAAGTATAAAATTATTAATTTTTGCATAAGTATATTAGTTTAAATAATTGGTCAAAGTTTACCACCTTTGACTGAAAAAGTCAAAAATGACTAAGTAAATTGGGACGAAGGGAGTAATAAATAGTAACAAAAATATGGATGTCTTTCCCACCACCTCTTCTGCCTCCCTGCACCACCACCTTCGACCAATGTAAATATTCCATTTTTTGTAAAAAAATGTCATTTTTCTGAAAATGTCAAAAAAATGACATATTACTCTTTGATAATGCCAAAATTTTCATTGAAATTGTCATTAATATGACATGTTTTCCCAGTGACCGGAGGTGGTGGTGCTGGGGTGGCAAAGGCGGCAATAATATTTTTTTAAAAAATGAAAAATTAATAAAAAAATACTAAAAAACATTAAAAACATATGGATGTCTTTCCTAGTGCTTCTACTACCTCCCTGCACCACCATCATCGACCGATATAAAAACAAATCTATTTTTTTAAAAAATCTTAAAATGCCAAAACATGACTTATTACTCTTTAATAATGCAAAAATTTACATTGTAATTGCCATTAATATGACATTACTAATGCATGTTGCATTTTTTTCCCGTTGACTGGAGGTGGTGGTGGTGGGGGGTGGTAGAGGCGGCGGTGATTTAAAAAATAAATAAATAAATAAATATAAAATAGTAAAAAAACATTAAAAAAATAAAAAAAATATAGATGCCTTTCCCACCTAGGGATGACAATGGGGCGGGGTTGGGGCGGGGGTTCACTCCCCCATCCCCCACCCCGTGTCTAAAAAATCGCCCCCACCCTCGCCACACACCCCACTATTATTCGACCTGCCCCGACCCGCTAAACCCACGGGTACCCAACGGGGGAAATATTAGTAAAAAAATTACTTTATTTTAGACGCAGACTGTTTTTCAAAAATCAAACAACACTTCTAGTATGTAGCCAAAAGAGCTTTTAGTTTTTAAGAGTCAATGTAATCTTACATCCCATTTCAAATTTAGAACACATTATACACATTTTTGTTGGGATTTTTTTATGGTGTCCAATCTAGTTAAATATCTTTGTATTTGTGTAGTTATTACTACCTCCATCCCGCTATGATTGTCCCATTTTACCTTATCCGTCCGTCCTACTAAGATTGTCCTATACCAAATTTGGTAAAGTTCGTGTGGCTCTAAATCATTCTTACTTTATTCTTATTTTATCAATTCAATACCAACCACATAAACCACTTTTTATTAATTTGTGTGACACTCCCTTTTGTCCCATTGTTAGGGAGACGGAGGGAGTAATTACATGTGTAATATGAGCCACAAATGTATTTTAGTCCATTAGCCCTCTAGTAAGCCTTAAGTTAGACATCCCTATGTATAAAAGGAAGCTAACTTAAGAGAAACTCTAAGCCTTAACAGAACATTAGCGCATATCAGTCTAGAGAGAGAGCCGCAACCTTTGTTTCTCGATACCCTAAGTTTAATTCGATATCTTTGTTTGGTATTGAATCAAAGTTGTTTGTTCTGTACTCTATATTCTTTGTACGATTGTTGGATGAATTGAGAAAAACAGCTTTGATTTAGTCATTTTATCAAACACTTTATTAGCATTGATTAGCTATATAATATTTTCTTGAGCCCTTCATTTAATCAACCATGATCATTTGACAACATCTAGAATGACATATGGTCACCACATTTTTTTAAGAGCCCCAACTACAATCCTAAAGATGACATTCATAAGAAAAGAATTAATGCACTATAATAGTAAAAGAAGAAAACAGTCACACTGTGGCTGAGGAGTTTAAACTAATATCACTTCATAACTTTCCAAATTCATTTTACTTTATATGATTTTGATAACCAATTTTACAAGATAGCTGAGTTATTAAACAAGAATTAGATAAACCCATTAGGCACAGCCCATTAGATAGGAAACGGCTAAATCCACCGGGCCACCATGCTATTTTAATTACTTCATATTAATAATTACATATTTATGACTAAAATGAAGGTTGTTTACAAAAATGTGTCTAGTGACTAGAGTAGTGATTAAATTATAGTAACTTATGTTCAATTTTTAAACTCAGGTTACTATGACACTACATTGTACGAGTAGTAACTAATAGTCATATTTGTGTAAAAGAAAATTTATTTTAGTAATATTTTTTGTAAAAAACTGTATTATTATTAGTATTATTATTATTATTGTGATTATTATTATTACGGGGGACGGGGCGGGGATGGTGCGGGGGTGCATAACTCATCACCCGCCCCATATTTAAGCGGGGAGGAAATAATTACCTCATCTCCATACCCTCCCCTATACAACTCCCCCACACGGTGGTTCCCCACGGGCCCCGCCCCCATTGCCATCCTTATTCCCACCGCCTCTATTGCCTCCCTACACCACCATCTTTGACTGATTTAAAAAATGACAGCTCTTTTAAAAATGACAAAAACATGGCTTATTACTTTTTGATAATTTCAATTTTTTTATTGAAATCGCCATTAAAAAGTTAAGGAAGAAACATATGTTAAACTGTACTTTAGAGAACAAATATACTCCGTAATTATTAACTTTTTAGTAACTAACACAAAAATTTAAAAATGGGAGCAATATATCATTGACACTAAACTAATCAGCATAAGGATGCATATGTCCTCTAAAAATGTACTTAAGTGTTTATTTATTCCAAAGTTATAATTTTGTGTCCATTTTTCCTAAATATTGAGAGAGGTTTTCTAAAAATGAAACTCTAGAAAAGGATATTCCATAATTTTTAAAAGACGAGGTCCAAATAATAATTTTTACTTCTTAAATCCCCCGCAAAAATCGAAAGTAAGGAGTAGGGACTGCGGAACTTAATATTGAGCCTTCAATATAAATTGATACGCCGACTAGGGTTACATAGTTGTGAAGGAAGGAGGAAGAGCGGCAGTGCACCTCGGAGTCATGGTTCTCAAGTAATTTTCTTTGATTTACTGTTAGCATCCACTGCAATTTATCTGTTTAAGGAATCTGTATGATGTTGTTTCACGCGGTGTTCGCCTCTATAATTTGCTAAAATTCATTTTCCTGCCAAGATTATGTTCCTTCAGTATCTAGCCAGACTAACCAGATCAGATGGTTTTGGTTAGAGTTTTATTTACATTATGGGGTTTTGGCGAGCTTCATTTTCATAACCCTGATAATAGTTTTGTAGATTCAATGATTAATTGGGGAGATTTTATCCTGGTCGATTCTGGATTGTGTCTTATTGCCCATTGAATCGCTTTAACTTATGTTTAAACTTGTGCATGAATTGCTAGAAGTGAAATTTTAAGAATGTGTTTACTTGGTATTGAATTCGAGTTATGTAGCAACATCCAGGTTTAAATTTGTTACCTTGTTCTATTCGGCTTACCACTTTATCCATTCATGTGTATCTTGATTTCGGTGGCATCAATTACATGTTCTAAAGACGCATAGATTCACTAGCGAATTGACTGCAAGGGGTTTTAGCGGAACTGTATGATGCCATCCATCCCACAATGTTTTTTATCTGACATGTATGTGTCGTACATGTTGTTGGGACTAAGGCTTGGATGGTGTTGTTGTATGTATAATACCATAATTGGTTACATTTAGTATGTGGCCTAAAGTTTCATCCATATTGTACACATTTACTATCAAACACAAAGTTTATTTTCCCCTAAATTTGCATACTACTTCTCCTTGTTCATAACATTCCTAGATGGAAGTAATTTACAGTTCCACTCACTCCGATCCATCTGTATGCTTTACAATTAGAAAGGATCTGTCTGAATGCCCTGCTCATGATGCTGGGATGAAGCTCATCTATTTTTTTATTGAATGCAATGGACTGGAGGGTATGGCTTTGTAGATGTTGAATATATTGCAAATTAGGTTAGTAATCCACTATGTAATTTCAGGACTGAGCTCTGTCGTTTCAGTGGTGCCAAGATATATCCTGGGAAGGGTATCAGATTTGTTCGTGCTGATTCACAGGTGGGTATCTGAATCCTAAGCATTTTCTTCTCTTGTCTCCAATTTCTTTGTATTCGTTGTGTGAAGAATTGGTTGTAGAGTTCTTCCCGATTGGGCTGATTATTATGGTTATTCCAGGTTTTCCTGTTTTCAAATTCAAAATGTAAAAGATACTTCCACAACAAGCTGAAACCTGCCAAGCTCACATGGACGGCAATATATAGGAAGCAGCACAAGAAGGTGTGGTATATCTGGGCTTTCTTTTTTTAATTAGTTTTTTATTTGAATCTGATCTATGGTGTTCTTTTCATATTCATTTGGGAACTTGAACATATCTTTTTCAATTTTGTTTTTATTTGTGATACTCATAGGATTTAGCACAAGAAGCTGTTAAGAAGAGGAGACGTGCCAACAAGAAGCCATACTCAAGATCAATAGTTGGTGCTACACTAGAGGTCATCCAGAAGAAGAGAAGTGAGAAACCAGAAGTCCGAGATGCTGCTCGGGAAGCTGCACTCCGGTATAGTTTTTTTGTGTCCTTACCATTAACCTTCCATGAATATATATACCTGAAATCTGCTGGTAGTATAATTGTTGTTGGTTTATGCAGAGAAATTAAGGAAAGGATCAAGAAGACTAAAGATGAGAAGAGAGCTAAGAAGGCTGAGGTGGTAGCAAAGTCACAGAAGTCTGGGAAGGGTAATCTTTCCAAGGGAAGTGCTATGCCAAAAGGCCCCAAGTTGGGTGGTGGTGGTGGAAAGCGCTAAGCATTGCTGTTTTCCCCCTTCACATCTTATTATCCTTGCACAACTTAAAGCATTAGCTTGTACTATTTCTGAGTCTCTAAGGCTCATTTTCTGAGTCTTTAAGGTTCATCATTTCATTCCAGTCTGCTGAAATTTTGTTTCCCAACTTTGATTGTGAAGACCTTTATCCTTTGTGTTTTTATAACTCTGTACTATTGACTAAGCTATGGATTTTATTTTATGATATTGTGGCCTTGTCGGTGTCGAAGTTTTCCAAATGATCCCACGGATCCTAATACAGTTCTTCAAACATGTTGTATTGTATGGATGTACCAAGTAATATGTGTTTTTCTAAAGCACGGTAATGATTTGCGTGTAATTTATAAATAAACTTTTAACAATATATCAAGGGTTAACAAAAAAAATCTCTCCATTCCTAACACTCCATGTGCTTTAAAATATAAATCGGCTTTTGATTTAGGCCGTGTTACCTTCAGATCCGTGATAAGGTCCTATACTCATATGTATCACTGTAAGTAGGGATGGACTCGGGCCGGATGGCCCGACCCGGAACCGGCCTGGGACCGGCACTGTTCCGGCCTGACCCGACCCGGTGGCCCGTTCAGTGACCGGTCCGGGTAGGCCCGGCCCGTGGGTTTTCCGGTCCGGGCTCGGGTCACCCAAAACAAGGTCCGACCCGGCCGGGCCCGGACCCGGTTTGGGCCAATTTTTTTTTTTTTTTTTCAATTTTTTTTAACTTTTCGGGTTGGGCTGGGTATTTTGGGCCATTTGGGGTGGTTTGGGGGGTTGGGGGTGGGAGGGGGGTTAATTAGGAAGAGGAAAAAAAAAATATATAATGGGCCCGGCCCGGACCCGGTGGTTACCCAGGCCGGTCCCTGGTTCACCATTTCTGACCCGCCGGCCCGCCCGGGCCTAGGCCCGATCCGGACCCGGCCCGGACCCGAGTCCAACCCTAACTGTAAGCAATAAGTTTTTAGAACGCCTGGTAGTGGTAGATCATATTACAACATTTCAGACTTCAGTATTTCACTATATAGGTAAGAATGTAAGATGAAATGGTAGAATGGTTTTTTTCTTGTTTCTCTTCCGAGAAACAAGAACAGTTCTTGCACCTGAAGCCAGATGAAATGCTTGAATTTGTCTTTTTAGTTCGTTTACTCGAAACATGAATATTGGTAGTTTGGTACATGGGATAGTTTGTAATTATCATGCCGGTATGGAATCGTTCATTTCTTTCTTTTAATAGTAAAAACATTAAAACGTTTAAAATTTGTTTTGAAGTTTCTTTTGAGATGAGAGCATGATTGTTTTTTTTTTGTCAATTTAGAGGAGTATAATATTTTTATATTCCTGGAGGCAACCCACCAAGAACAGGTTAAGTGATAGGAAATGTGATGTGGCCATTCCTTACAATTAGATATGTTATTTCTATATTACAACATTTCAGTATTTCACTATATAGGTAAGATTGTAAAATGAAATGGTAGAATGGTTTTTTTCTTGTTTCTCTTCCCAAAAACAAGATTAGTTCTTGAACCTGAAGCCAGATGAAATGCCTGAATTTGTCTTTTTAGTTCGTTTACTCAAAACATGAATAATGGTAGTTTGGTACATGGGATAGTTTGTGATTATCATGTCGGTATGGAATCGTTCATTTCTTTCTTTTAACAGTAAAAACATTAAAACGTTTAAAATTTGTTTTGAAGTTTCTTTTGAGATGAGAGCATGATTGTTTTTTTTGTCATTTTAGAGGAGTATAATATTTTTATATCCCTGGAGGCAACCCACCAAGAACAGGTTAAGTGATAGGAAATGTGATGTGGCCATTCCTTATAATTAGATACTATCGTATGTTATTTCTATATTACAACATTTCAGTATTTCACTATATAGGTAAGAATGTAAGATAAAATGGTAGAATGGTTTTTTTCTTGTTTCTCGTCCGAGAAACAAGAATAGTTCTTGCACCTGAAGCCAGATGAAATGCTTGAATTTGTCTTTTTAGTTCATTTACTCGAAACATGAATATTGGTAGTTTGGTACATGGGATAGTTTGTGATTATCATGCCAGTATGGAATCGTTCATTTCTTTCTTTTAACAGTAAAAACATTAAAATGTTCAAAATTTGTTTTGCATTTTCTTTTGAGATGAGAGCATGATTGTTTTTTTTTGTCATTTTAGAGGAGTATAATATTTTTATATCCCTGGAGACAACCTACCAAGAATATGTTAAGTGACAGGAAATGTGATGTGGTCATTCCTTACAATTAGATATGTCATTTCTATATTACAACATTTCAGTATTTCACTATATAGGTAAGAATGTAAGATGAAATGGTAGAATGATTTTTTTCTTGTTTCTCTTCCCAGAAACAAGAACAGTTCTTGCACCTGAAGTCAGATGAAATGCCTGAATTTGTCTTTTTAGTTCGTTTACTCGAAACATGAATATTGGTAGTTTGGTACATGGGATAGTTTGTGATTATCATGCCGGTATGGAATCGTTCATTTCTTTCTTTTAACAGTAAAAACATTAAAATGTTTAAACTTTGTTTTGTAGTTCCTTTTGAGATGAGAGCATGATTGTTTTTTTTGTTATTTTAGAGGAGTATAATATTTTTATATCCATGGAGCCTCCAGGCTGGAGGCAACCCACCAAGAACAGGTTAAGTGACAGGAAATGTGATGTGGCTATTCCTTACAAGTAGATATGTTATTTCTATGATTACTACATTTTCTTTGAAAATTGATATTGATGTTTTTTTTGTTAATTATGAATAATGTTTGTCTATAGTTAGGTCTCAATGATATGACAAATCTTCTAATATGTGGGACAAACTTAACGGATGAAAGACTTTTATCTTGAATAAAAACACATACATGAAAAAATGTGTCGATAAATTACTATCAGAGCGACAGACTCTTTGATTTTTTATATTGCAATATGATAAAAGTTAGATGTATAAAATCATATTATTAAAAAAAGTTATATTGAAGGATAAAATAACAAATTTGAATTATACTTCATTTTTTAACCAGTTGTATTACATTTCAAACAAGTACCAACAAAGTTGTGTAGGCGTGTAGCATTTGACATGATCCTAGTTTAGAACTGAAATCTTGATCATTTTATAGTATGAAAAATAACGAGAATTCTAATGTAAAATCAGAAACGGTCAAGAATGATTTATTTCTAATTCAAATTATGTCCTTCTGAAAGAAAGACATATATGTTGTTTAGAATTGTCTTAATGACATCAATACTAGACCAATAATCCATAGATATCAATCGCTTGAAACTACATTATTGAATAATCTATTTCCGATTAAAAATAATAATCTGAACAGACTAGACAGAATAGACAAGTGATACATCTTACCAACATGACTCATTCTCATACATGAGATGGTGCCCCTGCTTTAGAAAACTTCTGAGTTTCTCACTAAGTACGTTATTCAAGGCTTAGAGTTATGTGTCACTCATAATGACATTATGAACTTTTAAAATTTAGAATTCACAATAAGAATGTTTTTACTTAGACTAAAATTTTCTAGTTTTGTTTGATCTGATCTAGTCTGAACTAGCTTGAAAATGTTTGATCTGTGTATTTTACAACTTTTGAAGTTTGGTCTGATTTGATCTACTATGATCTGAGACTGAAATAAATTTAAGTAAAAACGTTATTATAAAAGCTCATAATAATATTTAAATGACTTTTGAAAATACCAGTCATCTTGACGCTAGAATATTGAGTAGGGAAGTCTCAAAGACCTCATCGTATCAAACAAGGTCTTACCAGTTTCATTTTAGCCTTTTAGGATGGAACATTAGGTGTTTTTTTTAAAACAAATAACTAATTTATTATTAAAAGATAGCAAAGAGGCAAAGATACAAGAGAATTAATAGCCTAAGGCTACAATGAGATGAGACATATAACGGAAAAGATCCAATGAATCCTTCCTGGTCGCTAACCCCGTAATGATGTAGTCTAGTCCAACAATATTGTTGTTCTTGTTGCTACTCCAAAGAGAAAATAAAAAATCACAACTAAAAAACCAGCTTTACCAGCCACCGGAAAGGGAGAATTGGTTTGACCAGCAACCAACGAAGGAAATTCAATTGAGCAGAAATTTTTTGGATCATCAGTTTGACCAGCCACCGAAAAGGAGATCCAGTTGAGCGCTATCTTCTTCTTCGAGTGAGGCGGTGGTTCAGGAGGAGGGCGAGTAATTGGAGCTTCAGAAGAACTATGTTGATTCTGTCTTACCAACCATGAATTATGATCCACTCGATCCTTTACACCGACGAGGAAGACACAACCTCTAGAAATTGCTAGGATAAGAACAAAACACACACTCACATGAAGTGGACATAACTTTCGACCAAAGAAGATGCCGAACCAAAACCAGAACCCTAAGAGATAAAAAAAAATGACAACATAGCAAAACCTTTGATTCACTAATGTTCAGAGAACATCGCAATCATCAAAACTTTGTCAATTCGAGAGAAAAAACCAGAAGAGTAGATCGTCAAGGAGCTCATCCGGGGTTTCCCTAGGGCCTACTCATGCTTTGTTCGTGAACACGAGGTGTTAACAGCTTCATTTTTTATTAAGGTTGAATAAAGTTATGATGTTCAAGTTCTTCAGGTGTGAGTGTGTGACAATGCAAAAAAAAAACAAGGTGATCTTCAAACTCCCACACAAATTATTTTCCAAAATGCGATAAAGACTTGTTATGCTGTGGACATAGGAATAATTAAATAAAAACTCTACACAAGAGGAGTACAATTGATCTAGAGGTTAGCTTTTCTTCAAGTATAAATTGTGACACACATGAAACACTTCTTATGTTGTGAATCTACTCCCTTACCTTCAAATAATAATTTTCAAAATGATCTCCTACATGACTACATGTACACACAAATGAGAAATGAATAACCATTGCAAAAAAACAATTGCGAAATTCTGAAAAATTAACTCTTGAAATTCAATAACTTAGGACATTATTGACATATAAGAAAAATAAATGAGCACCACCCTACCCCCAACCATAATTGGGCCATTAGGGCCCACATGAAATATTATTAAAATCAGAATCAACAAAACCTGTTAATCTAGTCCCATTATATAGGATTATAGGGAACGAGAATTGTTTTATTTTCACCCTGACTTAATTAATTATGACCAATTTTTATCTAGACGTCATTCTGAATTAGGGATGGAATCGGGCCGGGTCGGGCCCGGTCGGGCCTCCGGTTCAAGAACAGTGGGCCCGGGACCGGCCCGAGGGTTGGACGGGTCCGGTTCGGGCCGGGCCACCCGCCCGGGTCACGGGTCGGGTCCAGTTCGGGCCGGGTCGGTTAATTTTTTTTTTTTATATAATTTATATTTTATATTTTATAGTTTATAGTTTTATAAGAGTATTAAAAACAAACTTCAATTGCATTTATTTGAAATGAAATAGGAACTACATTTGAAAATTAAAACAAACTTTAAGAGAAACATTTTGAAAATTGTAATCAATCGGAACTTCCCGCACCTCCCGATCCTTTGGCTTTGTGACCTTTGTCACATGACTTCATATGCTTGATTGCATTCCCGAATCCGCCTGAAGCCCCCATAATACATTTTTTTTCGCACCATTTGCAAATTGCGTACCACATCCCGGTCTTCGGGTCCTTCTGCTTATCAAAATTATACCGTATAATGACATTTTGATTTTCCATCTTAACTTCTTGGAGAAGAGAATTAGAGAGTAGATATATAATATATTGGAGAATAAGAGAATTAGAGAGTAGAGAGTTAAGAATGAATTTAGGAAGAATTGGAGAAGAGATATGAAAAAATGTTTAAGAGTAGGAGTATTTATAGGTTTTTTTACCCCCCCCCCACCCCCCCACCCCCCCGGACCCCCCCTTTACCCCACCCCCAAGGCCTCAACGGCTAGTAGCCAAAAATAAAATAATTTTTTTTTTTTTTAAAAATAGACCCGGACCCGGGCCCGACCCGGCCGGGCCGGGTCACAAAAATGCTGAACCGAGCCCGCCCCGCCCCTTCCCCCCGGTTCGGGCCCATACCCGGTCCCGGACCGCCCGACCGGGGTTGGTCCCGGGCCCGCACAGTACCGGGCCGGGTCACGGGCCGGGTCACGGGCCGGGTGGCCCGAACCGAATCCAACCCTATTCTGAATCATAAAAGTTGACTTCATATACTTGGGTAAAATAAGGATGAATCCTTTAAAAGTACAAAGACTACTAACCTTTCTACTAGTTGTATAACATTAATTTAGCTTCCCAGTTACATAGTAAAGAGCTGGAATTGATAATTATAAACTTAGACATGATCAAATGTCCAAATAAACTTAGTAAGTGACCTGAATAACAAATGAATAATCCTAAATTTAAATATGACGACATCGGACCACACATATAAGTTGTTTTTATATATTTTACTCAAACAAGGACTCTACTAAAATTTCTCTTTCGAATGACACAAAAAGGGGTCAATTTGATCATTCTAAACTTCCATATATGAAATTTACAACGACATGTCAACAAAAATTGATGAAAGGCAACATGGATAAGAGGCATATACCTACAAAAAGATGACATCAATCATGACACCCACATTTTTCTTCGCTACAATCACCATCAGTAGAATAAACCCCCAACTAAAACCTGACGGGATATTCATTCATGCTTAGACATGTCACTGTTACTTCAAATCCCATTCTCTTGAATGCCGGTTCAGATCACTGGGAACAATTGATACATGGTCCACACAAAGGCCGCCTTTGGAATGCGTGCAATCAATCTGTTTCATTGAAAACCGAACCTCAGTCATCGGATCAGATCCAGTGACAAGGAATTTCCCCACCTTGTACTCTATCCAGCACCCACGCTTGTGATTCCCACTTACCTCATCCTGTACATCATCATCCAGAAAGCACTCGCTCACGCCATGTTGCCCATCAGAAGTCGAGAACTCGAACCTCACTGGTTTTATATCCCAACCATGGGTGTGTTCGAAGTTGCAAACACGCCTCCCCAATCTCTTGCTGAACCTGCCAAGATGGATCCTGAACGAAAGTGTGTAGACATCCGGTGGAAAAGGAAAACACACCACACCATCAACTTCAAACCACCATACTTGTTGCAAATAGGCCACAACATGGAACCTAAAAACCAAACAAACAAACAAAAAAAGGAAAAAGTAATGAATGATGATCACAGTATCTCCATGACTCGTTTACCAAGACCGTCAAAAAGTACCATTTTTAGTACTTCGGCTACAATATTTTTATGATTTTCATCTTCCGACTTGTTAAAAGTTTCTATGTTTTTTTATCCTGTAATAAGACATCATCTATCTATCTAACGCCAGCTTCAGAGATATAACATTGATGCTAGCTACAAATATTTGTTTAGTGAGTGAACGTTACTTATTCACTCTTAGTTATTTTCCCTTGTAAGCATAACATACAAGATGGATTCATGTTTGCAACATATTTTACACGCTCGAATTCACAACTTATTCTTAAAACTTTCCATCTTTGTTTAATTTTCACCATTTGCCTGCAATGCGGACCCAATCTTTTATTCTTTATTATATCTCACAGTATGAAATGACCAAAAATGGAAAGAGCTGTATGCCATTTTGGAAATGTTAAAGTGGAATTTTCCCATTCAGATAATATAAAAGACAGTAGACAGTCATTTAAGAGCATGCATAGATGATTGTCCAAACTACAGGAAACACTATCCGAATAAATTCATATACATAGGGGTGCACTTAGAATTAGTTGGCAGAAACCCCACTAAGAATGGCAATGATCTCAGGTCCATGCCATGGATATATTGTATTTCCCATGGAACACTGGAAAGCAATATCAATCTCGAAACTTAAGAATAAACTGGAATTGGTTTCACGGAAATGACATCTAACATAGATTACAAGCCATCTATCCAAAATGACAAGCAATGCCAATCACTAACATAGATTTCACAGAAAAAGAAAACAAGGATTAATTTTAGGTTGATTTCAGCGCACCCTTCCACGATATACTTATTTCAGCTCATTAAATTTAAACAAAACGTGAAAGCGCTCGATATGTATAAAACAAGAGCAAATGGTTACATGCATACTGGTTTTCGATGACTAAATTTTCCAGGGATCAAGATTATGACGTTGTAGATTCGGTTCCCAAAAAGTTGTCCAAATATCTGTTCTGATAAAGCATACTGAATACTGATTTTCATTCTCATTTACCCCAGTGCCGCAAAGGCTCCCACCTACGGTTGGGTAAGGAGGGGTCAGATGTACGCAGTCTTACCCCTGTACTAAAGCACAGAGAGACTGTTTCCGGAAAGCATACTGAATACTGATATGTTTCTAAATCCAAAGGAAAAGAAAAGAAAAACTATGATGATTGAAGCACATAGAGCACAATGGTACTTTATAAGGCTGAACTAAACATGTTGTGATGCATATTTTGCACAGAATAAGAAAAGTTTAGTTTTCTCAACTCGCAACATCTTGGAACTTCAATTTCCTCCATAAAACATGACTGAAGATTTTAAAGCCCTAAATCATAGACAGCTTTCATGAAATATAGAGCATTTTGATAACAGTAGAACTTAATCAAACAGCACTTTGAAGTTAAATACTCCCTTTGCCCCCACAATATTTTGTCACGTCTTTCCAATTTATCCTTCTTACTAAGTTGGTCCTATACCAAATCTGACTATATTTTGGGACATAGTCATTCTTACTTTTACAAGTTCAATATCAACCACACAATCCAACTTTCCTCATTTATGTGCCAAATTAACGTCCCAAACTTAATGGGACAGTGTATCTCTCGCAATTCTATAACTTTAAGTTGATAGCCATTGTTAGATCATAAAGTCACAGGTTCATTCTTTAATTCAAAAGTACCCCTAACTCAAATCAATTACACCAGTCAAGTTACATTTCAATGGAATCACGTGTCAATTTTTTTAAATTATAAAGACATATTAAATGCAATTCGAGTATATACTTAAATATAATTAAACAACAACAACATTACCCTAGTGCCGCAAAGGCTCCCCCACCTACATTGGGGTATGGGGGTCGGATGCATGGGCGGAGCTAGGGGTGGGCCAACCTAGGCCATGGCCCACCCCAAATTTTAAAAATGGCTTAAATTTTTAAGGTAAAAAAATTCGTGTAAATTTTTTTCTAAAAATATTCTTTGTACCGGCTCAGTTCGGCCCAATGTCCTGGCTCCGCCCCTGGTCGGATGTACACAGCTTTACCCCTGTACTAGCCTTACCCCTGTACTGAAGCACATAGAGACTGTTTCCAAATGACTCATGATGAAAATCGCATTGAAAATTGCATGGACAGTTTAGTGAGTCATTTTGCTTTATTCCATCATATTCCCAAGCCAAAGAACAGTGAGCCTTTGGCTCCATTGGAAATGATGGAATGCATATACTTAAATACAACTACGGACCAAATTACTATGGGATGAAGAATTAACAGTAAGTAGAGAGGGAAGAAAAGAATTTTTAAAAGACATTTTATATAAATATAAAGAGACCTCATTTTAATATCACTAGATAATGAGCTCTCTATAGCACTTCTAAATAAGATGCCCAACCCATAAAATGAGTCTGAATCATTTTATGACATCATAAATAATTAGATTTAAGTCCAAGCATATAACCTAGACTCTTCTGTGGGAAGCCAGTTCCAGTATCTCCTATCCTCAATCCCTGTTATGGTCATTGCTTTTGCAGAAATTGCCATGCAAACCCTTCCAGTAACCCTATCCAACCATATTTCCTGTGAGTTCACAACATTCAAAAATACATAGGTGAGAACAACAAATCTATCTACATCTCTATCCTTTATGTTCTGAAGTAAGAAAACAAGGGTATGTTAGTTTACTAATCTGAAATTTAAATCTGAACTTCGCAATGACCATGAATTTAATTTTTCTCATTATATAACATTCACAAACCTCAAAGGTTTACACCTTCAGGAACAGAGCTTAGGAGAAGTCATCATTCTTGCTATTTAGATAGCTCATAGCTACATACATAACCACTCACTCTTTCAAATGTATCCATCCACAATCAAATGATATTCTAACACTAATGTTTCACAAAATCATTTTAAATCAAAGGTTAGGGATTTAGTCATGCAGCAAGGTACATCCAAACTTCTTACAAAACAATTTGAACATTAAACCAAATAATATATCCAAAGGGAAGAGGATTTTTTCTGGAACTTTAAATTACATCTCTTAAAATTTTCATGGTCCCTTTGGATCGAGCTGAACCGACATGAATCTAGGTGAATAATTCGATTCACTCCTTTTGGTCACTACTTTGATAGTATTATTAATCTACTTTAACGGGATTACACTCAATGTCAGGGTGAAGGCCTGAAGGGTCATAGTTAAATGAACCTTTTGTTATTCATTTCAACCCAAACCATTAAAAAACAACTGCGTAGATGTTGTTCCAAACATCATATTCACATGTTTACTCGGTCAATCTAGTTTCTCATAATTTTGGTAATTTTCTTAAGTTTACCCTAACCAAGTTAAACCTAAATCCAAATCAATTCACTAAATTTCAACTACTTAACCAATCCCCTAAATCTTTTTGGCTAGGAAGGATCTGTCACCCAAAATTGATCGTGCACCACAACTGAGCTCCTCCCTTTCTTGATCAAAGGAAGAGAAAGGTAATCTTTACAGTATATCTATGAACTGCTAATCGAACAGAAAACAGAAAATTAAGAAATTGCGTACCTTGTTGGCGCCGTTGAAGGGAACTGGACGAGAGAGGAAGGCGAATATGTCTTTCTTGCACAGTCCATGGTATCTGTCTTCCGGAAAAAGGTCGAGCAACTGTTGGTAGTTAGAGGGCAATTTGGTTTCCCAGACGGAGTCAGATGAGGCGGCGCCACGGAAAGCGCGGTTGAGCCTAGCCAAGTTGCAGATCTCTGGCGGCGTCAGGTGCAAGAAAACACTGGCGACACAGCTCTCCGGTATGTCCCCTAAACCAGGCCTGTCATTGGCCGACCCGTTCTCCGTCAGGTTCGATAACGACGCGCCCATTATTTTATGAATACCTCCCTTTTATGCGATTTTCTCAATTAATGTTGTTATGACAGAGACGCCGTGGACGGAGGTAACCCGTGGCGGAGAACGTGGACAAAATGGGGAATGAGCAGATGGGGTTGAGAGCCCAGGTTCTAGTAAATTACGCCGACTGTTTATTTAATTATGGAATCCCATTTACTAATTTTGATGAGAAGTCACTAAAATATAAGGGATGTGAGTTCAATTGAAAACTTATGTTAGTGTTACTGTCATATACTTTATCCGTTCCCTTTTAATTGAAACGGTCAACATTTCACACAACGCACAAGTTTGACTATTAATATCTTTCTTTCCTTATTATTTGTAAAACATTTTTAAAAAAATCATATGTGAATAGTGCAAAAAGTCCAATGTTGCAATTAAAAGAGAACGTATGTAGTATTATTTCTTTCAAAATGGTGAATTTATTGAAAGAAACCCATATAATCATATGGTGCCAACGTAACTTTTTATATAAAGTTCAGGATATTTAAATATGTATCGTTTTAATAGCTAGCGGAAGTGCCTACGCTGTGTAGGGTTTAGTGTGCCGCCATAGGCCTGGAGAGTTTGTGACAGACGGATTCCTTAGGCTGTTCGGAGTTTTGTTCTGCTTTTTGTTTTTCAATTTCGTTTTCGTTACTTCTATACGTGTGAATCGTTTGTGGAAGGTGTAGTTTTTGTTTCGTGGTGCTTGGGTTAGATCGTCGACTTCCCTCGTGGATCTCAGTTTGTCGAGTAAGAGAAGGCAGAGATGGAGAGAAGGCTTCAAGATTTTCAACGCAGGTGCAGCGGTCCAGGGAATGAGAGCAGTTTTATCTGCGGCTAGGGGCTTTTGCCATCTCCTATTGGTGCGAGTGATGTCAATGGCTTTCAGTGGAGTTGGAGGAGACCGTGGATCTGCGTAGGCTAGGGTTGTGAGGCCTGAATTTCATATAGTACTACCTCAAAAATATAATCTGGACATCCATGTCTTCGGTTAATATAAAATACTCCCTCCGTCCCACAATGAATTTCACAGTTTGACCTACACACATATTAAGAAAATAAATTTACCATGAGATAAATTTTACTGTTGTGACACTGTTTTGCACTGTTTCGACACTGCTTTGCACTGTTTGACACTGTTTTGACGTAGATTAACTTGCCATTTAAGGAAATGAGAACTTATTTCTGGGACATCCAAAAAAGGAAAGTGAGAAGTTCATTGCGGTACGGAGAGAGTACTTTAAATTAAAGTGGTGATAAAAGCATTAGCGAGCTAATGAATACCTTATCAGCCATTGGGTGATCGAAAAGAAAAGTTTAGTTTAATATAGTAAAGTAATTTCAGATTACTAACGTCTTTTCTCTTAGTAAAGTAATGACATATTGACATTTAACAATTAATAAATGTCATATTATAGTACTCGCCTTGATATAAAACGTAGATGAACGTAACTATGTAAGCTTCCTGGGTTTACCATCGGCTGTTTGGGAGGTTGTCGCGATTGTGATGGCCGATTCAGTGGCGGCCGTCTGGGAAAACGAAGTGTTGATGATTCGTCCCCTTCCTGAACCACTGGCAGGGATCGACAAAGATGCTAGGGATTGGAAATCAACAGTTCTACTATGGATTTGGGTACCTGAAGGATTTTTAATATTTTGGTGTGTTAGTTTTCGTAAGTACTTGTTAGGAGGGTAGAAAGTATGTAGGTTTTAATATTTTTGGGAGATACTTGTTAGGAGGGTAGAAAGTATGCAGCCATGCAGGCTTTGATAGCCGACTTCAGCTTTGAATCTCTCGCATATATAGTCAGCGAATAGTATTGCTCATATTCGGGCATGCTACTCTATGTCTGATCAGAAAGTGGGGGACCTTTTGGCTATAGGTTGTCTGAGGAAAATAAATGGGTTGTGGAAGGTTTGGATATTGGACCGTTGGCCTTCTTTATCTTAATATAAACAGTTTTCAGTATAAAAAAAAAACATATGTAAGTTCAGGGTGTTTACCTCACACTCATTCAAATTAATGTGTCCTCCATGTTGGGATATATCACGTAGGGGGTGATAATCGAGTACTTGGATTGTTTAAGGATCGTGTAAGTTCACTTTCCGAATTGATATTTCTCCCCTATGCCTGAGTTACAAGAAATTCAATCTAGGATAATCCTTAAGGACACTCTAGAACTTAGGCACAAGAACTAGAGCCAAACTAGTGAGTATATGGATTGCTATCTTAAGTTGAATGCCAAAAGTGATCAAGATATGTTGTATATCTCTCCTCTAGCTTCTCTGTACGAAATATGGTGATATATTTCCATATTACACGTCCCAGGCAGATGCAACACGTTTTGGAATAACTGTGACAGTTTTTAGAAAACTGCACGAAACTGCCCAACCGCTCTAGACCTCGGTCTAGAACCACAGAGTTGGTCTACTGAGTGTTCTACCTCGAGTTCCACTGCCGTAGGCACTTTGGAATAGAACTCGTTCTTATATACAAGTGTGCACTCCACACCTCCTAGCTTGTATTAGAACACGATTCTAATCCCTATTTGCATCCATGTCATTTCCAATTACACAAAACGGCCGGTGACACTAAAATCACCAACACTCCACTATTGGAGCGATATTCAATTTTGTCTCAAAATTATTATGGTTCTCCTTTACTTCTTTACTTGGTAATTAGTTAAAGGTGAGGAGGGAAAATATCAGGATATTTGTCGTGTCATCAGGTCACCCACTGACATGGCGTACATGTGGCGGGCCTTGTGTGCACTACGTCATTAGAATATGACTGACTAGGCTTCCACATGTACGTCACGTCACCAAAGTCATTCTTGACTGAGCTGTCACATGTGCCGCGTTAGCAAGTGACTTACTCACTTAGCGGGTAACCTGCTAATTGACTCAATTGTACGCTTTTTAAAAATTCAAGGATTTGATTGATTTTTTTGAAAGTACGAGGACTTTATTGACCTGTTCATGATAGTACGAGGACCAAGTTGACAGTTTTCTAAAATTTAATGTCTAAAAAACTACATTCAAGATAATGATTACATTTCATTCAAATTTGCATCTCATGACTAGATCTTGTTCCTATTTTGCATGTAATTTGTTACCACCAGGCACAAAATCTATGTATGATTAATACTCCCTCCGGTCCTTATTAAACTTTACACTTTGATTTCACATATATTAAGGAAATAAATTTAACTTTACTGTAGAGTACATTGTTTGGCACTGTTTGACACTGTTTGGCACTGTTTTACACTGTTTGGTGTAGATTTGTTTGCCATATAAGGCAAATAAGAAAGTGTAAAGTTTAATATGGAACGAGCCAAAAAGGAAAGTGTAAAATTAATCAAGGACCGGATGAAGTATTTCATATAGTTCAATTCATTTCAATCTAAGGTTAACACGTTGGAGTTGATGAGGCACATGTAAGTTAAGACCCATTATATTCATTGGGGACTTGAATGAGATGGGTCAGCACCAAATATAAAGGGTCTTTGGTTCTCCCTTTAATATATATTATCCCGAACATTATAGATAGTATTAGAACATCTCGGATGATTCATTTGAAGGAAAAATAGTAATTATAGAAGTAATACCATGTAGTATCTATTGAAGCATTATTAAATATAGCGTTATTATTAATAAATGAAATGTGAAAAGTTATAACTAACCGTTAGAGTACTTTTTTATTTTACTATAAATGCTTATGTGACTAATCAAGTAACCATAGCTAACAGCCGGAGATGCCCTTAACTTTAACTCCCTTTACTCTGTTTAGGGAGATAATAATAAGGAGATGTAATATACTCAGATCATTGATTTTTCGGACAGAAGAACACGTATATTAATAAAAAATCATCCAAAAAGTGGATCTTAGAACTACTGCGTTGAACCTACGAATAATCAGGTTTTCAATTATGCACTTCTCATAACTTACATTTTTGGAAAGTAAAAACAAAGAAAGAGGACCAAATAGAAAGTAAAGGAAAGAAAATAGACACGTAAGTCACCTTAGTAGTTAGTAGAGAAGTTTAAAACGTCTGCTATGAGCTGTGTTTCAAAGGGTGTTTCTATGGTGCACTCCTTAATTTGGTGTGTTTTGGTACACATCCTTGATGGATAGTCTGCCCGGGGGTAACTTATCCGAGGGGTTATTACGGGGAATAACAAGAGAGAAGGCAGAGCAAATGAGTATAGAGAGAAAGTATATTAGAAAGTATTCAGTGTTTTCAGCGTGTTGTGTCTTGGTTACAAATGGGGATATGGGGTGCTATTTATAGTAGCAATAAATGCCAGACAGGGACACGTGTCAAGCGTCCATTGGCCGAGGGGTCACCTCAACTGGCTGGCGCTGACAACCGCATGTGGCCGCATTAAATGCGGCTGTTGGATGTGATGTACTTGGTACGGTGATCTATGCGCACGTGGAGCGGATATCATGTCGGAAAAGGTGCCCTCGGCTGTAGAGGACTAGCCGAGGGCTCTGAGTACCGGGGACCCCCTTGGTGCCGAGGGCTACTGATTTTCGCCGTTCTTCCCAATAACCTTGTTTTCCTGTTTTGAACCTCCTGTGAGAATTAGAGCCTTCGGCCAGGGGGGCAAAGGCACCCCTGGTGCGCATTGTGGGCTGCTTGGTACTCTGGGCGCTGTGATTTGGGCCTGTTGTGCTTTCTAGGCCTGTTAGGCCTTCATTGGAGTAGTAGGAGTCTGTGGGCCGGGGGTTCCCGGGCCATATACTCCATCAGGAGTCCCTCACTCCTTTTACCGAAAGGTACTTGAGGGAAAAGGAGTAATTATGTTTGTCCTCTGCCGTTGTTCCGTTGTAGTTTGTAGAGTTGTGGATAGTTTGCTGTTTGTTCATTCTGCCGAGGGCAGTCCCTCAGTTACCCACATGTCGGGACTTGAGGGGTCATGTTTGTGATTTTTGTGATTTTTCCCGAGGGGGTCCTCCAGTCCCCCACTCCTTGAGGCACTTGCAAAGTGGTGAAAAGGAGTAGAGTAGTTGCGTTGCTGTTTTGGGCCGAAGGTTGACGCTTTTCGTTTCATTTTGGGGGGATGCCTCGTTAAAAACATCATTAGGAAAAACCCTGTGGGAAAAAATCCTAATGAGGGAAAAAGAGTGCACCGAATTCCCCCAACGATGAATCGAAAATGTGAAGCCCTGGTTCGAAATGG